TAGGGAATAGGGAGAGAAAAGAAGTAACCCTTCTCTCCCCTTCTCTCCCCAACTCCTTTTCCGACGTACCCCTCCATCCAATGCCCTCCTCCTCCTCCAACATTCACAATAACTCAAATCATCATTTCAATACTACTATTTCCATTCCATGCATAATCTCCGGTCCCACCACTTTCCGCCGCCTTTCTCACCTCCACGGCCGCCAGCAATATTGCCGCCCTTACTTTTGTACAACCTCAGTATTCATCATATCTTCCTCCGCTCCTCTTTTACCATAGCCGTGGTTAGGTAGCAATATTTTAATATCGATATACAAGAATATCCCTACAATCTCATCCTTCGATACATTCGATATCGATATAAACACACAAAAGGAGGACGTGCCTACAAACCAAATATATTGCCGATCATCAGAGAGAGATCGACATAGTTCTTTGATTAATTAATTAATTAATTTTTTTATTAAAAAAAATTAGTTAATTAATTAATAAAAAAGAATCGCTCTCGCTCTCTCGATGTTCTTCATTCCCAGAATACCATTCCTAGACTCCGCCTTAGACCTTGCCACCTTGCTCTTCATCTCCGCCCTCATCATCCTCTCCCTCCTCTCCCTCTGCTTCATCTTCCACCTCTGCTTCAAGTCCCGCACCGCCCTCCATCTCCAACACTTCAACTCCCTCTGGACCGTCCGATTCCTCCTCGTCCTCTTCGTCATCTTCTGGTCCCTCAACGAGCTCCTCCGTATCCCCACCCTCCGCAGCACCTACCTCTACCCTTTCTTCTCCACCCTCGCCCCCTTCGAGGAGCCCCACTTCTGCAAAATCCATGTGGCTCTCTCCCTGGGGTTTTTCGAGCCCGCCTTCTTGGTCACCCTCCTCTTCCTCGTCGACGTCTCCATCGAGAAAAAGACCCCCAATGCCTTCTGGGCCATCGCCTTCGTCCTCGCCACCTGTCTCCCCATGGCTCTGGTCCAAGTTATCTTCTTGTTCTTCAACCCCTTTCAGAAGCTCCGCCTCCCCGTGCCCGACTTTTTTGTGCGGAGCTATGTCGTCAGCAAGAGCGAGTTGGGGATCAGCATGGTGTCCTGCGCGTACCCTTTGTTGAACATCATCATGTTCGGTTCGTTTGGGGCTGCGTACTCGCTCTGGTTTTTGTTTTCGTGCTGGAAGGTTTTGTCTTTGGTGATCAACAAAGGGCTGAGGACGCGCATTTACACCCTGGCAGCCACGGTACTGGTGCCGTTGCCGCTGCAGATCATTTTCATGGGGCTGAGCAATTTTTGGAAGCCGGACCACCCGGCCTTCGCCGCAGTCTCCTTCGTTGCGTTTCTCGCCACGCTCACATGCGCCGCCGTGGGGGAGGGCATTTTGGTCATTAAACCCATCGGTGATTCCTTGGCGGCCGGAGGAGATGCTTGCCGCTGGAATAGGGAGAAAAAACCGGCTGAGGTCACGGATAATGGAGGTAAGTGTGCCGTCTGATTAAGGGAACCAATGATTTATCATTGGATATTCCTTAACGTACGGTTACGATCGACGAAGAAGAAGATGGTGTTCTAGTTAGAATTATGAGGGCCTTTCGGTCACTTGTCACGCTGCAATGATTTTTTTCTTCCTTTTTTCGGGTAAGTACACAACATGGAAGCAATTGCAAGGGAGGAAAACGTGAAGCTAGTGCGTATGTTTGATGTTTTCCTTTCTTCAACTCTAGATTTTATATAGATTTTTTCTTTTCATTCTTCTTTTTTGGCTAAATTACTGCAAACTGTGATGATGAAATGAGAAAAAATCGCGTGCGATACCCTTTTATCCTTCAAGTTTTCATGCTTGTTCTTATTCCAATTTTATTTTATATATATTATATGGATGTTAGATTGGCACTCCGGCAACGTAGCAGTTTTTGTGTCATGGTTATATGATGCTGTTGTTGTTGTTGTTTATAATGAGATTGAATTACTGGAGTTACTAAATTAACTAAATGGATTGTTTGAAATTCATGCAAATCATCTTTAACTTTCTTTGAATTTCTTTTCTTTTCTTTTCTTGGTCAAGGAAGTCCTTATTATATATGAAAATTGAAATCAGTCTTTTGCAATGAATCCGAGAGTATTTAAAGTTTGTTTGGTAACCATTTCGATTTTAGTTCTCAATTTTGTGTTAGAGATAGAGGGAGAATATGTGGGAGAAATTAGGGATATAGTAGAACAGTGGAGATATAATAATAATAGTGGCAGGAATGTGAAAGAAATGTTTATGAAATTATACACACACAGAATTAAAACTCAAAATCAAAACCGAAAGGTTTCTTTGTAATGAACCCTAATTTACTTGCATGTTCTCTTTGTGTTCTCATAATATTTTATTTTCCATATCATGAATTCCAGTTCAAGTCCATTGAAATACTCTTCTTTAGCTGGGCCTGGTGATGCTTTTTCCTCCGGTGGCCTCAGATTGGACTTCTCCAAATCCATAGGAGGTGGTGTCTTTGTGCTATCCAGCCCAACAATTTAAAATTGGAGCTACCACTAGCCTCCAAAAAATGGGCTTTAGACTGCTGCCTCAAAATCTACTTGATCTTCAATGTCCATCCATATTTTTGTACCGTGGACCATCTTTCATGATTCATGAACATAATAAAGCAAAAAACCATATATAATATATTTGGTCTGGAAACCCACCTGAAAATCAAATGGCCCCACCCCCCCCTCCCGGGGACTCCGAAGGACCACCCACCTGAAAATCAAATGGTCTGAAAACCCAAATTGGTTGGCTGTTATAATCAAGGTAGATGGCACTAAATTATGAAAAATACTCATTGGCAGACAAGGAAACAAATAAACTTTTCTTATTAATATATAATAAAAAATTATCATAATTACCCCAAAACCAATCTTATTACCTGTCATTTTCAAAAATCCCGATCAGACAATTTCCTTTTTCTGAAAAACTAGTTACATTTTGAAAACGTTGCCGTATTCTTGGAAGGACACTGTGTATCTGAGAAGTTGGAGAGAGAGCCAGGCTGCCAAGCAAACAAAAGAAGAAAGCAGAGAGAGAAAAAGCAAAAGGTCTACTCAATTCTGTTTCCATAGATGCTCGACAGACACAATCAACTTTCCTTCCTTTCGTGAGTCTTTGACCTAAAATAAATAAACAAACAAAAGAAGAAAGGAACCACAGCTAGCTAACCATTCCCATTTTGTGGGTCATTATTCAACGGCTATATCTCGAAAGTTCTTCTTACAAGTTAGAATCCCATGCATCAACCTAATATTCAAAACTGACGTAATAATCTCGCCATCTTGATCGCACGGTTTAGGATCGCCCGTTCACCAAACTTGTGCATCAATCAATCGCATGCTTTTCTTAGTTGTGATTCAACAAAATTTTCCAAATAACAAGGGCCAAGATATTAGGAGCACATGCATCTTTCTGGGCAACGTCACACTCTACAAAATCATCACAATACCTTCCTTCACAGCAATTTTGCAGTAACATCTGGCACAGAATCCGCTTCTAGATTGAGGCTGGGTCCGGGCCCGGGCCCCATGTTGGGGTACTAGTAGCACTTGAAAAACTTTGGGTAGATTTGTTTTTTTCTTTTTCCACTCCTCTATCTCTATGCTACGAATGTGTGTTTTTATTTTAATTTTAACAAAGCGATATTTTAACTATTTTAATGCACGGGAAGGTGATTTAACTACCGCGGACGCATTGACTTAGTCAAGGGTAACCCTCATTTGCATTTTCATAATTGTATTAGGGGTACAATAAACAAATAAATAATAGTGTTTTGTTACAACAAATAAAGGATAATTTCCAAAGAACAAATATACAAGCAAGCAAAGTAATTGCTGACAAATTAAAAATTAATAATAAGAAGCTGACGTGACGCTCCCTGTCCCTGATGTAAACAATGGAGAATTGTGACATGTTGGAGGCATGTGAGACGCTCACGTGACACCTCATTGTCGTCGGTCCCATGTAGCCGAAAAGGGCCCCGCAAATTTGCTTCGCCAGAGAAGCGTTTGCTACTCGTCATCCACGTGGCTTAGCTGCTTCGCAAGATTGAATTCTTTGATTTTTTTTGGTGATGCTTTTCTATGCTCGGTTGAAATTCTTCCATTTCCAGGTTATTTCTTACTGTATATTATTATTTATCAATAGATTCAATACTATAAATATAAAATGACGTTAGATATGATGAGATTATTTAGAATCCAGCTTTGATTAAATACCCCTAATAAAGGTTATGTCTGTTAACGTGTTAATTAATATTGCTGTATAAGTATTAACAGTAGTAATTATGAAATACGCGTGAGATGATAAGTCTTTTAGCCTTTTAGCAGGCGTAGGAATTCTAGTTTTGGAAACCAAAAACAAAAATGTCAAATTAAGTCCCCATATTTGTAACGTCTTGTAAGTTTTTCCAGCTGTGAAAAACTCCGAGTGAGCTTCGCAAACCATGTATATATATATATATATATATATATCTTGGACGGCGATGATCTCTCTCTCTCTCATAAAGTCATAAGTCGGAACCCACAGCCCAATTAGACGTGACTCTTTTTTCATTTTTCGTCTCTGGAAGAGGCTAGGTGAGAAGGAACCTTTGTGTATAAGGTAAGCAAACCCTAGAAACATCGTCACCCACATACAACCTCCACTTCTTTAAGCCATATATAAATAGCAAGCTCGCCCTCTCCAAAAACCTCTCACTTTATCTTTTTTTATTGTTCATCATCTCATATATGTGGGTTGTTGAATCTGATATTCATCTATCATGAGCAATATTCCAAGATCTCTAACCGACTCCGCCCTCACCCTCTTCAATCTTGCAATCTCTGCTTCTGATCCTTGGCCTTTTTCTTTCGTCTTCTTATAACCCATCAAGACAATTCACTTGTCTTAGTTTTTCTCTTTGTTTTTTCCACTAGACTCTACTAGCTGCTAGGGTATTTTTGGTTTCTGGGTACGTAATCAATATTCTTGTGATCGGAAATGGGGTTTAGCGGTGACAGGGACAACAAACACCACCACCTCAATTTTCACCTTCACTTTCCCCACCTTCTTCATCACCATGTCAAGAACAACAAGGAGCCCAAAGACATTCCAAAGGGCTGTTTGGCGGTCATGGTGGGCCAGGGCGAGGAGCCACAGAGGTTTGTGATCCCTGTGATCTACATCAACCACCCACTCTTCATGCAGCTGTTGAAGGAAGCCGAGGAAGAGTATGGCTTTGATCAGAAAGGCCCAATCACCATTCCTTGTCACGTGGAGGAGTTCCGCACCGTTCAAGGCATGATCGATAGGGAGACTTCAGTCCACTGCCGTCACCACCATAATCAGCAGCAGCAGCAGCACCACCACCACCAACATCATCATGTCTTGTGTTTTAGGGTTTGATTTCATTGTTGTTGGGCAGTTATGTAAATATACAATCCATCTATTAATTTCCTTGGATTGATTGTTTGTTTGTGAGGACGCCACGGGTTCTTTTCTATTTCGTTGGGACTTCATAGTCGTATTTGGTTGTGAGTTTACGATGATCCTGGAAAGAGATCAATGGATCATATTAATGTGTATGATTTTGGGTATATTCGTTTTGGTGCCTCAATAAAGATGAAAATCACGTTTTGGGTGCCTTTGATTTGTACATGTTCTTTTTCTTTCTTGTTGTTGATAGGTCAAATGCGTAAAACTAGGAAGCTGGTTGTTGGAGATAAGAAATAGGGCTAAGGCTTAGCTCCTCACAGCCATCGACCAGATGTTGTTGTATCTGCGGTGGTGGTGTTTAATTTACCAATATTTTGTTTTTTGGTCCCCCAAGTCGTTCACATTTGCGTTTTCGCCGCAAAACCCATTAACTTAGGGGATAATTAACTATAAGGAGTTACTTACACTTAAACTTTGTATTATGCTTGATTGACGGGGATGATGACGAGTTATTCTTATCTAATTGAATACGTCAACTGAAATTTACGTTTTATAATACATTGACTTCCTACGGATGATATAGATAAAATGGCAAGGCATAAAGCAATACATATTTGACTCAATCATTTGCTTTGCCTTCGTTTCGTATAAGATTAGTTTGTTTGACTTTCCACCGCTGCCCATGTGCACAAATGTGAGTTACTCCATTTGGGGCATGTAAACATGCTCTTCTTTCAAAGGAACCTTTCTTAGTAATCATTCGTCGATTCGCACACGTAAACGGACCGACCATACCCAAAATGGGACGCCAAACTCGATAACCATCTATCTTATTCCGGCCGCTATTTTACTCCTCGACGCTTCCAGACCTCTATTTGCCCACGTGAAAAAGTCCAGGCGAAAGTCAATCATATATTGCTGGCCTTGGAAACAATTTGTAACATAAACCTTAGAGTACTGAAAAATCAAGTTATGTCAATATTCCTTGCATTGCACTAATTATTCTCCTTGTTGAAATCATAATCCAAAGTATGCAGAATGTCCGTATAGATGGCTTTTGGTATCGGAATGTCCGTCAGAACGGTTTCGAGCACAAACAAACTCTTACAAATGTAAATGCAGAAACTTTCTTGGTTTCTATTTTGCCTCAAGGATCTCAACCACAGTCACAACTGGTACAGTATCATATCATGCATTATTTTTACAAATATCTTCATGTGTTTTCAAGGGTCTTCTCTTGAGCAACTCTTTTGCATAAATTCTTACAAACTATTGGCATGGACCCATATCTCTTCAATCTCAACCTCACACTCAACTTTCACCTTCACTCTCCAAAGGGATGACGAAGTTTATAAAAAATTGGAAAAACACTTTCAGTAAAAAATTTGTAAAAAATTATATATCCCTGCTTACATTTACCGCTGTCTAGTATTGGAACTACGTACTGTTACACCATGCAAAAATTTGGTGTATCCAAGGAAGGTAAGTTTTCCATCCGAAGTTCGGATCCAGTCATTGAGTAAAGGGTAAGAGGTAGGCCCCAGATTCATTTCCTGCATAATGTTTCATCATTCTTGAGTTTGCTATTTTGAAAGTAAAACTCATGCAGATTCTTGTTCCATATGCTATTTCGAAAGTAACATCTACATGAGCAATTATACGAAAAACTGATGTGCATACCTGTGCCAACTCCTCCACAGAGATGACCCGGTTTCCTTCATTTTCAAAATACTCAAAAGCCGTACTTGCAATCTTCTCCCATCCTTCATGAGCTTCTAGCTGATACGTATTTATTGCAGCAACGCAAAACTCTTCGAAGTCCAATTTCTTGTGTGAGAGTGGTTCCATCTTAAATTTAAAACTAGAATATGAGAATATACCTCACGCAAAGGCCACATTAACACAAATAGAAAAATGAATAATAAAAAAGTAGCTTTGTTATCAATCCTATCGATTCTGTGATCAAGACTGTATTTGTCAATAGAAACGATAAGCCAAAAAAGTCCAACAAGAGCACAAAAGATAAGACATTCTAGAGTCCTCCAATATTAAGAAAAAAATGGGGTTTTCTCTTTGTTTGTTTCATTAAATACAACATTCACAGAAACAGGATGTTATCTCATCTGACCTATCCCAAGATATGCAACAGTGTGCAGTTTGTCATTTGAAAAAAATTAACAAAAAGAAATTCTACTGAAGTTTCAATGTTATATAGGAATCTACTATACGTGAAAATAACAAACAGTTTTGGGAAAATTGCTTCGTTCAAATCAAAGAAAGTGCACTGAAGGCAACAATATCTCTTACCACATTTATAATGTCATGAACCCTTGACTCCTTCATGGCATCAGTTGAATTTCTCATGAGGGCCTACAGTAATTTTCATGATAAGTTGAAATGTCATTACAAAACAATGAAAGATAAACAAATTTAAAATGTCTACCTACAGCACTTATTGGGCATGTTGAATTGCCGTAATATACCATGCACATAGATAATACGTGTCCAAAAATGAGTTCCTAATTGAGGGATGGTTAAAGCAATAAGAATGATGACTAACCGTTCTGAAATTATCAAGGGACACATATCCATGTTTAGGATCCAAGAGCCTAAATTGAGCCCTAAGATAGTAGAGCTCGTCTTCTGTTATAGCCTTGGAAAGAGCCTGTGCATAAAGAAATATGTTACAAACTTACAAAAGATGCCAGCACATATGTTTTGCCAACCTCCACTCAGTATTGAATGCTAAACAAATGCAACTTCCACTATACACCCTGTTTTGCCCACATTTTTATCTCTGTTTTTAAGTTGTTTCTTTTTTCATTTTTCATTTTTTTTCTTTTCACATTCGTGAGGATTGGGAAGGCACGTATCTTGTAAATGTATGTTACCTTTAGTGCTGCACGCTTGAAAGGTGTGGCACGAACATATGACTTAACCAACTTGTAGATTAATATATCTAAAGGCACATCATGTTTTTCATCCCGTAACCATGGGTGAGCTGTGAACACAGGAGATAACTATCAACATATATCAAAAGCAAATAACTGTACATGCCACAAGGAGGGAAAATTTAGTGCAAAATAAAAATTAAAAAAATTAGAAACTAGAGAGAGTTATATTTTGAATCCATTGAGGATTGTGAAAATATTTAAAACCCACTTACTTAAAGCTTGGGCGGCAGTCATTCTTTTTCTGTGGTCCTTGTTCAAAAGCCTTTTCAGAAAATCTTTGGCTTCCGAGGACACTGCAGGCCAAGGTGTATCATTAAAGTTAGGATCAGCTCTTAGCACTGAACGAAATATTCCTGATTCAGTTCGTGCCCAGAAAGGTCTACTTCCACAAAGCAGTATATACGTTATGACACCAATACTCCACATATCAGCTTCAAGACTGTAAGATCTATGTAACACTTCAGGTGCAACATAGTATGCACTTCCAACAATATCATTGAGGCGTTGATCTGCACATGTAGAACTAAATGGGCTGTGAAAACAATGTAATGTTCTGATAATTGAAGTTCTCATAGTTAGATTGAGTCCTAAGAAGGTAAGTTTGTTCTCAAAAGAACATGAACAACATATCAGGAGAAAAAAAAAAAAAAAAAAAAAAAAAAACTTCCAATGAAATAAATGGTTAGAGAAGAAATAGGACTAAGAACTTCATGACACAAACAATTTGCAGCTATATATTATACATTGAAGCCAAAGGATAGTGTGTAGAAAGCAACCATTACCGGGCCTAATAAAATCTGAGAGACCAAAATCAATAACCTTCATTGGAGCATCCTCATTTCTTGTGGTAAAAAGAAAGTTCTGCCAAGCAGTCATAACGAGCAGAGTAATTAGTTATTGGTTGGGATGAGAACTGTAGACACAAAACAGACGTACATGTGAACATGCACAATTATTCTGTTCCTTTCCAAATGCAATAATTAGTTAACTGGAAATAAAATTGTTAGTTCAAACTCTCTGAATGTAGTACCTCTGGCTTTAGATCACGGTGCACAACACCTTGAAGATGACAGAAGGCTGTTACACTTAAAATTTGCACAACAATAGTCTTAGCATCTCCTTCTGTATATCTTCCACCCCTGCCACCAAGGAGTGATTAAGAATACATCCTTGAACTCATAAAATCCGAAAGTGCAAATCACAAATACAATACAAGAAAACAAAGCATTTCATTCTACCTTGACAAAATTTTATCCAGTAGTTCTCCACCTTCACACAACCTATAAAGTCAACAAGATCAGAAAGCTTCAAAACAGGCTTATCTACTAAATTCTTCTCATCAATCAAAAAAAAAATACTGATATATTCATACAAATCAACCACTAAGCAACAATTCACATGATTTCCTATGTAACAAAGTTGAGCCATGACTCCAAGATATTGGTTTTTATTAAAAAAAAAGAAAGAAAAAGACTAAATACTATTAAATAATAAGAAATAAATAAAACAAGAGAGCAAGGTCATACTCCATGACTATGTAGACATTATTGGCATCCTCAAATGCATCGTAAAATCTGACCAGATTCTTATGTCCAGATAATGCTTTCAGTATTTTCACCTCTCTACGAACATCTTCAATAGCTATTGCTGTTGTCATCTGCGAAAAATCCCTCATTTAATTACCAATATGCCTTCAAATTAAAAGTTAAATTCTGTAAGTTAGTAAATCATGTAATGTATTGATGAAGCAGTGAGAGTAAATGAATCCTGCCTCACCTATATAATACATGAAGATGATAAAATTTGGAAGGTCAGTACAAATTAATGACCTAAAACTCCTTTAAAAATGTTTCGCAGACAAAGATCAACAGGCTCAAAACATGTACAAGCCAAAAGATTTACCCATATTCAATCCCCCAGACTCGTTGCAGGGAAGGCATCATTCGCATAACCATGCATAACCAAATTATCAGACCGTTCACCATTTGATTTGCCTCAATTTCAAACAAAATTATTAAAGCTTATACTAAAAACAATAATTGCTTCAACTCAAATTGTGCACTTTGACCTTCTAATTTATCCATAGAATGTTGCCACATATACTTTTTCTGATGATTTGTATTTTTCATTTATTCCATATTTACTTAAATACATAAAGAAAACAAGCTTATCTACCAAACAAGAAAATGCACATTCAACTAAATTATGAAAAAGAACATATAAATCGTAGTATGAGCAAAACCTTCGCTTTGGCTATGATCTTGACCGCAACAGGCTGTCCCTTGAGCTCTCCCTTCTTGCCCTTGGCCCAGCAAGTGTGACCAAAATGCCCTCGACCCACCTCCTTCCCCAGCTCAAACTTTGCCCCAAAGTTCTTCCCATACCCGAAGCTTTTGTCTAGTGCTCTATCAGCCTCAACTTGGTTTCCTTGATGCTCCTCCGGTATCGGCCCGTCCTTTGGCTTCGCCTCACGCCCCTGTCGCCTTCGAAGTGCCGCCATAATCGGCTTCGCCGGTGACGGTGGAGGCAAGGGCCACCGGAATTTCCTTCCCGGCGTCCTCGCCGGAGACGGCGCTATTCCGGCAGGTAGTGGGCTCTGCAGCGGACTCGCCGAGAAAGAGTTCGCCGGAGTTTCTTTGCCGGAGTGAACATCGCCGGTTCTGGGGCTCGGTGACACCGGGGCGACTGGCGAATGTTTTGACTGTTGGCGGCCGGTGGGTTCGTTGTCGGCCACCGATACGTTCTTGCTGCAACAATGTCCCATCGTTGAATTTAGGGTTTTAGCGGAGGAGGAGTCAAAGTAAGAACATCGGACGGTGGAGAAAAGTCGCCGACTTACAGAGGCGGGAGAGAGAAGAAGGAAGAAGGAAAGAAAGTGAACAAGAAAGAGAAGAGAGTGGTGTCCTTAATTTTGAATGTTGGAGTTATATGCTAATTTGACAGCTAACCAGGGGCATTTATGTTGAATGGTTAATACCTGGCCGTTCATCTTAATCATCTATAATTTTCTGCGGGTCTCATCCACAATTATCTATCAATTGCACTCATCCCTGCTCATCGTAAATTTTCATTTCCACTTTTACCTTTAATCCCTACTCTCTTTTTTCCTCTTAATATAAGCAATAATATAAAAAAATGAATTCAAAGGCAGCCTACAGGTAGTCCTATCAATGGATCGGATTTTAATCCGTATCCGTTGTAATTAATAGGAGGTAGATTAGACTTCTTAATCCATTGTAATATCAAAATAAATCCGATAATAATATGATCTGATCCGAATTTGATTTGTAATGTATATGAATTGATAGGTAAAATCTGATAGTTTGAATACGATATAAATATGATAGTCCGATTATAAATGTTTTGAAAGGGTGATATGTGAATCCGCCAAAGTAAGCTAATTCTTTAATAAATAAAAAACAAGTGAAAAATAGTTATAGTTTTGTAATGGATCATCCACCGTATAAAGATATAAAGATAAAATGTTGGAAAAACTCATATGTTTTGATCTATCAGTTAGACAATATAACGTAGTTTGACGTCATACTGGTGTGGTATCTGTACACAAGCATGAATTCAGAGAAACCAACATATTATTTAAATGTGGCGATTGACGAGAGCATATAGGATCATAAAATTATTTAAATGTGAATTAAGAGTATTTTTTGCTGTCATTGACTGGAGATTGCGGGTGGTAATTAAGAATAAAAACAATTGGATTAACCGCATTAATGGAATCAAATTGTCGAATATTTTCTTCCTTCTTAAAAAATATTATATTGTTGGGGGATTGGGATCGGAGGAGGATGGGACAGAATTTGGCATTCAACTTCGAGATCGTCATTTTCTAGTTTTATAAGAAACCTCTGTTTCTTTGAATACAACGCTCTGCTGGTTTTGTTTTTAATATTTCAAATGTATGCTAATTATTTAATTAATCAATAATTAAGTTAACTATAGTCATGCATAATTCACAGGTCACGGTGAACTTGATTTGAGAATCACCATACCCACCAATCAACAAGTAGGTGACCAAATCAAGTCATCGAGAATTGAAGCTTTGAACAAGTTGGAAAATTTCTTATCTGCCCCTTTCTTAATATAAGAAAACCAAACAAAGTTGGAATTTTTCTATCTGCCGTCTTTCTTCTGCTTCTTCTACCTATGACATATCACATATTGAACTGAACCAGTCTGATAGGTGCTGATAGGTGCCGGTTTGAAATTTCTCTTCAATCTCATCTACTTGTAACAAGAAGGATACTGAAATTGTCCCGCCCTTGCATTTGGCAATTCAAGTCTGCAAAAAGTCTACTTGTAACAGGCTATACTTATCGGGTCGGGTGTGATGCAGAGGTGTGAGATGATCGAGCCGCCTCACCACCAACTTTCTCCTCAATAAGAGCCGACGTTTGAATTATATTTATGCAGAGGTGTTAGGCTTGAATTATATTTATTATATTCAGCCCAAAAACTTATATTGGGCCAACTCATATTATGTTTACAGACCGATCCTTCATTGGGCTATGAATAAAGTTATGTTTCCGAAAAAATTTATCATTTGGAAAGAAAAAAACGAAAAGAATAACATGGAGGATTATAATTAGGCCATTTCCAGCACCCCCGGGCTCGGGCTGGGGGGGGGGGGGGGGGGGAGAGCCCAAATCCAAGTTCCAGCAACAAAGGCTGGCCCGGGCAGTGTGGGGTCCACTTGCCTGGGCTGGCCCCAAGGCGAAGGCAGCCCGAGCGAGAGCCCGAGTGCGAGCTGACGTCATCGCTTATGCCAGCGTGACGTCAGCACGCGGTTGTAAAATTTTTTTACCGTTGGCGCGTGCAATGCACGCGCCAACGTTAAAAAAAATTCAAAATCGCGCGTCAGCTTTTGCGCCCAACGGTAACGTGCGACGTGGCAGCCTCTCGTCCTTCCGATTTCGCCTTGTCAGCCAATCCGACGGCCTGGAATTTTTCCAGGCAAAAAATGATGAAAAAAAATCGTAAAAATTTTTAAAAAAATCCCAAAAAATACTGACTTTTTTTCTATAAATACCAACACCTACTCTTCAGTTTTAACAACAAATTCTCATACATCTTCTCCTTCTCCAACTATTTTTCACTTTCTATTTAATATTTTCTTCACTTTTTACTCTAAATTGTTTTCATTTTTAAGTATAATTTTTCTCTATCATTATGGCTTTTTCTCAAGAAACCGGAGGGGCATGGAGCGTCATGGAAGATGTCTTGTTGTGTGAGTGTTGGATCCAAATTAGTCATGATCCCATATCGGGTAATGAGATGAAATTCAGTCAAATGTGGAAAAAAATTCTTCACGCATTTGTTGAAAGATCGGGTTCCACCCGTACGGAAAGCGCATTGTCAAGTCGGTGGAAACTTCTCAACAAAGAGTTGGGGAAATGGAGAGATGCCCTCACAAAAGCGATGAATAACCATGCAAGCGGGGAAAATCTAAGCGATGAGGTAATTACTTGTAATTTTCATTTTATTAATTTTAATGTCCTATTAATTTTAATTTTAATGTTTCTTGCAATTGGTATATTTTGTTAATATTTCTTGTATTTCCATATGTATTTAAATGTTTCTTGCATTCTTTATATTTTGTTTATATTTCTTGTATTTCTAATATTTATATAAATGGTTGTCGCATTCTCTATATGTTTTTAATATTTCTTGTCTTTCCATATTTATTTGAATGTTTCTTGCAATTTTTATATATTTTTTTTATATTTCTTGTATTTCTAATATTTATTTGAATGTTTCTTGCATTCTTTATATGTTGTTAATATTTCTTGGATTTTCATTCATATGTTTATCTTTTTTGCATTACCAATTTTTTTTTTAAGTTCCTTGCTTATTCAATTTTTTTTTATATAGATTGTGCAAGCTCAAATGTTCTATGGTGCTACTGGAGTAGGGAAAAAAAGTTTCACCCATACCCAATGTTGGGAGGTGGTGAAGCATTGTAAAAGATTTAGCATTATTCCAACGGCTCCAACGGTGGTGTTAAACGAGACGCCACTTCATGATTCACAAGCTTCGGATTCGCCTATGGAATCCCCTATGAGTGAAGACTTACCCATTCAAAAGGAGCCGAGGCCTATGGGGAGGAAGGCGGCAAAGGCAAAGAGAGGAGTTAATTCTACGAGTAATACCTCTAAATTTTTAGAGGAAATTGCAAGGCAAAGCGCCTTGAGAATTGAAATAGACAAGAAAGTCCAAGAAGATGATAGGGCAATGGCAATAGAATTTGCTAAAGAAAGGGAGTATGTACGCAAAGAAAGGGAGTATCGACGCAAAGAAAATGAAGAAAGGAAGGATCGGGAAACCATGGCCATGGATACAAGCCACATGTCTCCTGAAACAAAACAATATTGGAAGCTAGAACGAAAGGCTATTATGAGACGAAAACTTTTTCGTGATGATGGACCTAGCAATACGGATTGGTTAAATGATGAAAACCCTTAAGTTAGTTTGCTTGCCTTTTCATTTCATTGTATTTTAATGATTTGTTTTAAAAATTAGTTGGAAGTCATGTATTTTATTGTATTAGTAGTATTAGTTTTCTTTGAGTTACCAAAGAAACTATTAAATAAAATTCCTTTTTATTCAAAAAATTCAATTTATAAAAAAAACTAACCACAACCAAAGCATTAAATTTGAAAATATGAAATTTGAAAAAAAAATTTATCTGAAATTTGAAAAAAAAATTTATCTGAAATTTGAAAAAAAAATTTATCTGAAAATCTTATCCGAATATTTTATCAGAAAATCTCATCCGAATATATTGTCCAAATTAATTGTTTAGGTAAACAAATTTGTGAAAAAAACAAAAAATTGAATAGTACCCCCCCCTTGCCATGGCAACTGCTGGAAGTGGAACTTACTTTTTGCAAGGGCAGACACTATTCCTGTGAATAGTGTCCCCCCTAGCCCCCCCCTTGCCATGGCAAGATTCCAACTGCTGGAAATGCTCTTATGGGTGAGCATCGACATCAGAAAATCGGAACATTAAACTGTATTGGATGGAAAAAATTAGAATAAAAGTCAACAAATCAACATCAAACCTGACCCGACTAACTCAACAAGTACAAAATCCGAATTATGTTAAATAGATAATTGTCAGCCGTTGATAAAATCTGAGTCCCTCTTCCATCAATCGAGCTCGCGTAACACATCTATAGGGGTTAAAATTTATATAAATATCTCCAAGTAAAAAACAAATCTAAAGAGAAAAAGGTTTATGTCCACGCGGCGCTTGGAAGCGTGGACAATCAGGCAATGGTAGAGAAATTGCCCTATAAATGGCGGGAGCCTCACCTGCTTGTAAGTTTCTCACATTCAATTATCTCTCTCTCTATTTATCTCTCTCTCTCCCTCGTCAACTCTTCGCTAATTACATATCAACCCCTCAAAAACCCTCCAATCCTAAAACACCCCCAAATCGTCACCAGGGTGCTTCCCCTTCTCCATCGTTTCGGTAGAGAGTCCATTCCCGTTCCGGTCCCTTTTGTCTCATAAATTCCTGCAGTTATATGGTTTTGCATTTTCCGCTTTTGTTTGAGCTTCTCGAACCCTAGGGTTTCATTAAGCAGAGTGAGTGAGAGAGTTGGAGTTGTACCGTAGCTTCTGATTCAATGGAGGCTACGGCCGCTGCGCGTGGTAGTTCGATGCCGATGCCACCACCGCCTACGCGCAAAGAGTGGCGCGCCGTCTCCGACCATCATTCGGCTCGAAACCTCGGGGATGAGG